AAACAAGCTGACCAGCATCACAGATTCCTGCAGGGCCGTACGGCGCTCTTCTGAGAGAAGGAGTTGAGTAGGGATTTGTCACATTTTTCTCGTGCCACGTGACCTAGGGGTCATGTGAACCAGGACAGACACTCACCTTGACCACGGACAACTCGTATCAGAAAGTGGAGGGGCCAGGATCGAACCCAGGACCTTGTAGGGTCCGGGAGCGCCCGTCCTCACTCACTGGCAGGTGACTCATGCGTCAGCAGGGATGCTTACTCATCGGAGGAAGCCCGGACTTAGCATGACTCAGGTGTTAGTCATGAGGACACCATGTGATAGGTCAGTAGGCAGGACATGAGTCAGCGGACTCTGACCAAGCAGGGACAAATAGGTATCTGGTCTGTGCACCATTGTATTTGTATAAATAGTAGGGAGTCTGAGGCAGAGAACCTCAGACTTGATCTTCTCGTCGATCACCCATCTCCTCTGTAAGTAGCTAGCAGCCCTACCTCTCGCTGCCCCTTCTAGTCTAGGGAATCTACTTCTTTATACCATCTCTTGCTGTGTCACTTGTGGTTGCTTCGCTCTCAGCACCAACCCCTTCACCAGTAAGCTTTGTCTTTGTTTATCTGGTGGCACAGCTTGTTGGCTATGACATTAGATCAAGTCTCTTACCTACCCCTCCGTGGAGTGTCTCAAACACTTGTGGACCAGATCTCTTCTCCCAGGAGTTTGTTGAAACATTTATCATCCCTCCCCACTATCCTCCCATCTGACTCGGACCTACCAGAGTTTACCCGTCGTCACTTCAAGAGACACGGTCACCTCGACGTCCAGTCACAGATTAACCACGCCCTTGCAGATGACACCTCAGATCGCCTTCAACACCGCTGTCAGTATAGGCATACCCCTATCGTCCCTCATCGCAAGGCCCTCCTCCCATCTGTACCCTCTTCCCAACCCCTCAACAGACCGCTCGCGGCACGTCTCACCACACCCCCACCAGTCTTTGTTCCCTCAAACCCTACGGTCCCTCTTTAGTACCATATAGCTGCACCACTTCTCCCCTCCTTTGCACGTCGTGATCCCATTGATCTCCTCGCTATCGTTGGCTCCAAGGTCAACGCTGTCATCAAAAGACTGCAGGCTATCTTCGACTGCAGGAATCAGTTGCTCGACATCCCCCACGATCATCGGCTCGCCCTTCAGCACATTGGCGACAGGCTCGAGTGGATACTCGACAACATCAAGGAGAACGGCACCTCGTGGACTCGTAGTCAGCAACAGAACATTGATTGGTTCTGTAAGGAGTTTGGAAAGGTCAAGTTTAGCGGACTAGGACAGAACTTTGAACACGTGGTCAAGGCACTAGTAGAGTTGGAATGTTTCGCTAGATTGGATCGTGGTTTAGTTTTTGTACATCGAATACTCTCGCAATAGCTTCAGGCTCTTGTTACGCCCCTCTGGCAGAGGATGACTTTGAGTCGGAAGATCCGGGGCCACACACCCACCCAGCTCCATCACTGGCACACACCCGCCCGGCTTCACCCACTGCCACGCTTCAAGTGTACCCAGAAATTCAATGGATCTACGCTGGTGTTGAATATGACTCCTTGGAAAACGCTATCCGTGCCTTGGCAAATAGTTTAGGGATCACCAACCCGGCTTACGTCGACTGGACCATCTCTGTGACAAGGGACATCACCTGGCGGGAAATAGTTAACGTTTACAACGTCCTCGGCAGCAAAATATATGAACATCGGAACGACTTCCTCAACGAGAGCGACACCACCCACGCTACCTTCAAGGAGTTGGACACGTCTATGACAGGCCTTCACACCAAGGCTGACACTGCTGGGAACCTCGCTCTCAAAGTCGTCGAAGAGAACAAACAGCTGAGGGCGGAACTGGTCACTGTCAATGCGGATCTAGAGGTTCTCAACCGGAATAACACGGAGCTCGTCAAACGGTACAAGGAACTCGCAGCCAAGTTTACACAGTTGGAGCAAGGCCTGTCGACTCGCACCACGCCTGGTATCAGTACCGCCCCAGTCCCTGTCGTATCACAGGCCTCGCGTATCAAGGCATCAGAACCACCCAAGTACAAGGGCAAAAAAGGCTCAGACATCACTCTCGAACAATGGTTACAGAAGATGGGCCTTTGGTTCCGTGTCCAGAACATCACCACAGATGATGACAAGATTACCCTGGCCCTCATGTACTTGGAAGGTGGTGCGCACGACTACGTCGAGGACTACGTTGAGACAGCATCAAACGGCGGAACCCTTGGATCCTGGACCAACTTCGTCAACTGACTCAAGGCAGGCTACTGTCACAGCCAACGAGCTGTGCCACCAGATAAATAAAGACAAAGCTTACTGGTGAAGGGGTTGGTGCTGAGAGCGAAGCAACCACAAGTGACACAGCAAGATATGATGCAAAGATGTGAATTCCCTAGACTAGAAGGGGCAGTAGAAGGTAGGGCTGCTAGCTACCTACAGAGGAGATGGGGGATCAACGAGAAGATCAAGTCTGAGGTTCCCTGCCTCAGACTCCCTACTATATATACTAATACAATGGTGCACAGACCAGGTACCTATTGACCATCTTTTGGTCAGAGTTCTCTGCCTCATGTCCTACCCTCTGACCTGCCTCATGGTGACCTTACGACTAATACCTGAGTCGTGCCAAGTCCGGACCCCTCCCAATGAGTAAGCGCTCCTGCTGTCACATCAGTCACCTGCCAGTGAGTGAGGATGGGCGCTCCTGCCCGTCACGAGGTCTGGGGTTCGATCCTGGCCCCTCCACTTTCCGATACAAGTTGCCCGTGGTCAAGGTGAGCGTCTGTCCCAGTACACATGACCCCCAGGTCACGTGGCACGAGAAAACTGTGACAGCTACCATCAACTGGCTCCCGAGAAGACCGCGCAAACATCCCTTGAGGAGTGGTGCTCAAAACCTCACTCCACGGTCATTCAGTTTGCCGAAAACTTCCGCCGCTACGCATTGAAGTCTGGTTACGCTGATGTATGGTGCGGTTCAACTAGACACCACCAATTTTGGACAGAGCTAAGCGCGCGCCTATTGGTTACGTGATGAACCCAAGTTCAGGGCTCAATGGAGTATCTCTGGTTGTTGAGAGCTGCATAGGGTGACATACCTTTTATATATCGATGTACATAGTATTAGTCCATGGATAGGAACAAAAGAAGGCCTACTTAGCAGTGTGGTGGAAAATCACCTCCAGGAATACTGTGATTTCACCTTTGACACTCCCTGGACCCTGGGAGAACATGCCGAAAGCCTTGCGGTCTGTTTCAGTGGAGCTGATCTGGAAATGGGAACATTGTGCGTGGAGATTTATTGATGCATACACTGAGGGTCTGGGAGCTTGCGAGGCACAGAAGAAGATTAAGGAGTTCAGTTCCTGTAGGTATAGATCTCACCGTCGTGTACCAGAACAGCTGGCACAAGCAATGGATATTGTGGAATATTATGTAATACAGAATACTACTTGTTGGGGATTAAGCGCCCATGTCACATGCTCTACCCGACTTGGGAGGGGTCATCTGGGCCAACATTGACCCAATTGACAAACTCTTATAGAGGATATGTTCCGTATAGGTAATACTTGCAAATGGCAGATTATCAGAGATTTCGACTGTACTGTGAGGGAGCAGTAGGACGATGTGGAGACTGGCGCTTATCATGTACAAAATTGGTGGTGTCTAGTTGAACTGCACCATAGAACTCATCCGACGCATCGACAACCAGGTCGGCAAGAACTCGCAGATTCTTACGGTTATGACGGCAATGCGGCAAGTCAACCCGATGCTGATTCTAACAAAATAGGAGCACTACCTGGACTGGGTACTGAAGCTGGAAATGGAAACTCGGAGAAATCAGGCCAAGTCGTCTTCGCAGCAACACATGACCAGTCGCCCCCCACGGGACCCCAATGCCATGGATGTTGACGCAATGCGCAAGCCGGAGAAGCTCTCCAAAGAACAACTTGAATGGCTCGACAAGAAGCTCTGTTTCCGCTGTGGCAGGCACAAGTTTACGACTGGCCAGAAATGTCGGAACCCTCAGTACATGGGCTACTACGAGCTCCCTGACATGAAGAAGCAACGTCCAAGGTACGCACAATGGACACGGCCGATGAAGACAAATGGGAGTACATCCGCAGGGCCCTCGAGAAGTTTGAGACCGCCAAGGGAAAAGGCAAAGGCAAGGCACTGGAAACCGAGACCGCTGCACGCATCGTCGAGGTCAAGGAATCTGAGGAGGATTTTCTGGAATGGGTACTTTGAAGACTGACCAAAGTATCTGACTCTGTAATCATAGCGTAGACCTAGAGGCCTCTTTTGTTCCGCGTTCGAATGTTATTTATCTCATGTCAGCACGTCGCCCGCGAAATTTGTTCGATCTCAAAGTTTCCCTCACTCAAGGTACGCATGAAGTTCAGTCAGAAGCCCTCCTCGATTTAGGAGCCTACTCTGGCTTCATCCACCACCGGTTTGTTCAAGAGCACGGACTCACCCCATGATGCCTCTCTCGTGAAGTGCAAGTCTTCAATGCAGATGCCACAGAAAATAAGAAGGGGTTGATCACACACTATACCTATTGTTTCCTCCGTATCGGAGATCACCTTGCTTGGCAGTCGTTCCTTGTCACAGACATCGGGCGGCAAGACATCATCATTGGCATGGCGTTTCTACATGAACATAACCCTGAACTCGATTGAAATGCAGGGAACATTGAGTTTACATACTGCCCCTCAACATGCACCCGGCACACAGTGCAGGACGAAGAATCACGGAGTTTGCAACTTCCCCGAGTGGAAGACCTTGCACAAGATCAGTACGGTGACCTCGGCCCTGAATCCTGGGAAAGCACCGATCAGTTTATTCATTGGGTGAACTTCTCAGATGACCCGAGTGCGCATCAGATGCGAGCCAGGTTAGAAGAGAAAAAGGACGCCAACCCTGCAACAAAAGGCGAGCAGGATCGCGAATACTGGTCAAACCATGTACCAGAACAATACCGGCAGTATGGTGACGTCTTTTCCAAGAAAGCCTCGGAAAGAATGCCAACACGGAAGCCATACAATCATACAATTGAACTAGTTCCTGGAGCCTCACTCCCCAAACCGGCCAAGTTGTACCCGCTCAACCTCGGTGAACGGAACTCGCTTGAAGCTTGGATCACGGAGCAAGAAGACAAAGGCTACATCCGCACATCCAAGAGTCCTACCGCTGCCCCAGTCTTCTTTGTCTGTAAGAAAGATGGAAGTTTACGTTTGGTCCAGGACTATCGCGCACTGAACGCGGTCACGAAGAAGGACAAGTTCCCAATCCCCCGGATCTCAGACCTTGTGGATAGGCTTTCGCACGCATCAATCTTCACCTCACTCGACCTAAGGTGGGGCTACAACAATGTTCGCATTCGCGAAGGAGACGAAGAGAAAGCCGCGTTAATCACTCACAAGGGACTGTATGAACCAACAGTTATAACCTTCGGCCTATGCAATGCACTCAGCTCGTTCCAAGCAATGATGAATGAGGTCCTAAAGGAAGAAATTGCGACCGGACATGTCGTGGTCTACATCGACGACATCCTCATCTTCACAGATGACCTCACTCTACATCGCCAACTAGTAGAACGGGTCCTAAAGAAGCTGCGCGACAACGACCTCTTCGTCAAACCTGAAAAGTGCAAGTTTGAGCAGCCCTCGGTTCACTTCCTCGGACTTGTCGTATCAAAGGATTCAATCTCCATGGACGAGTCTAAGGTGCAAGGTGTCAAGGAATGGCCTACTCCGACCAAAGTCAAACACGTTCAAGCTTTCCTCAGATTAGCCAACTTCTATCGGCGTTTCATCAAGGACTTTGCCAAAATTGCACGACCACTCACTAAGCTCATGTGCAAGGACATCCAGTGGCAATGGGGAGAGGAACAGGAGCAGGCCTTTGAAGGACTGAAAACCGCATTTACGACCGCTCCAATCCTTCAGATCCCGAACGACACAGCTCCCTACCGGCCAGAGACAGACTCGTCCGACTTTGCAACAGGGGCAGTCTTGGAACAACTTGGAGAGGACAAGCTATGGCACCCGGTCGCATTCTACTCCAAGTCCCTCAATATTCACGAACGCAACTATGAGATCTACAACAAAGAGCTTCTAGCC